CTCTATACATATTTATGCATATATATTATGAGATATATCCACTGGATATATCCCGCGTCAGATTTCCCCAGATATTCTTGGCGCGACATTTCAAACGCTTTTATGTTATTATGCGATTTTTTGACGGCGGCAGCTACTGCCCAAAGAGTAGGCGTTGTTAAAAAGCAGTCAAAGCAGGCTATTCGCCGATTTTTTCTCGCAAAAAGATTTAAATATTATTTAAAACTATTTTGGCGCACCTATCATTTAGTTTCGCTATAGTTTGAAAGTTTTATATTTTCAGAAGGTTTGAGAAATCTGACCGATGCATTCGCATCGGATGCACCGGTCTAGATCCGCCCCTGCTCTTCGGTGAGTGACTAAATATCGCGCAGTTGAATTCAATAGCCGGCCTATAGACTATACCCTATGACCATGTTGGGAGTAATCTCAACATTTTATTAACAAATTACCTGGTGATAAGAGGTTAATGGGTTATGCGTTCGCAGCCTGTGCGAATGTTTAGGCATTTATTGTCCCTCAATTCTGTCCATTAAGGAAAATATCAATATGAACAAACATGCATAATCTTTAGGTTGCCATGTTAATTTGAATAGCAGTCATACACATTGCAATGGTAGGTTTATCCACAGTTAATGTGTTTTATCAAGGTTGATCAAATGCAATACTAAGATTTCAGTCAATTATTTAAATTTTATACAGTCCTTAACAGATCATGTACATGTGATGGGTTACAACATTTCACATTTTATAAAATATTATTGGAACATCACAAATTGTTCAAAAATATGTAGCAAAAACACAGCCTATCATGAACTTCTACTAAGCTGTTATGATTTTCAATCTTTCATCAGCTGATTGTTAATTTATAAGCAATGTTATTTTAGTATATATCAATCCAACATTGCTCCTGGAGTATGTCAGAAATTATACTTAATAGTAAATTGTTGAGCAAAGCAAGTGATTTTTTCACTTGGTAAGATATTAAAAACTATAGGTGAGCAGATAATGAATCAGGAACTTCTTTCACAGGGTGAAAAATCCTCTTCATCTTTAGCAAAGTTAAGGCCAACTCTTTTGGGAATTTTCTCAATCTTGCAACCCCTGATGGCTAAAAACAATTAAAACCACCTTAAAGCAATTATTGAACAAAATACATATTAAACTTTCTTAAGCTATAATAGATTATTATCCGAAAGGTTAATGATAATGGTAAAAGCTGATGTTGAATGCATGGCCATTTGTTTTTATTGTTGTGCATAGAATTTATGCAGTAATAATTATAATATTCCTAGGAGAATGTATATGTACAATGTACAATGTACACACCATTCATATAATTTGGAAGCTAATCAATTAGGTAAAAATGGAAACAAATTCTTCCATGAACTTAAAGCTTATATACACATAGCTACTCCTAGTATGCAAACATCGAGAAGCTGTAGTAAACTCATCTACACTTTAATGGTATATTCTTTAAGTATTGTGATTATAATTTATGTACGGAAAAGTAATTGCAAATAAATCAGTAAACAGTCTCAGTGATGAGGGCAATGTTAAAAGGCTTCACTTAAAAACACAGTCTAGCATGAACTTCTAAGCTGTTAAGATTTCTGTCTTTGGGCAGCTGGTTGTTAAGATTCCTATCTTTTGGCAACCAGTTCAATAGCTATTCTGTGGTAAATATTAGTGTAAATATAATTCATATATGCTAAAAGGAAAAATATAGGCCATTATTTTGTTAAAAAATATGTATTATATATAACTAAAAAAACACAGTCTGGCTTTGATTTCTAAGCTGTTAAGATTTCTGTCTTTGGGCAGCTGATTGTTAAGATTTCAATCTTTTGGCAATCAATCATTAGCTATTCTGTGACAATTATATAACAATATATATCTATAATATATAAATTTTGCCTAAAATATAAAAAACCCTCATGAAATGCACCAATGCACCTCATTTCAATGCATCTTGAAACGTCTATCTAAGGGTTATGTTATGTTAAAGTTATGATTACAGCAGCTTTCTGAATATTTGTGGTAGGTAAGAAAGTAATGTCCCTTTTCATTTTTTTCCAGTATTGGCAAACTTTTAAATTTTGTTTGTGTTGAGTATGGCTTTGAAATGGCAAACATTTGTACCTACTATAATTAGTGTGTGATGGAGGTAGGATTGATGAAAACCATCATACAATTTATTTATTTACAAGCAGGTACAGTTAGCTGTGTACAAATTAGCTACAATAAACACAATCGTAATCTATTTATATTAATAAAAACAAAAAAAGTGATGAGCCCAGCCGTAAAAGCGTTGGCCTCGCACTATTGTTGTTGTGTTGTGTTGTTTCAGGACTATAGTATGACATAACTCTTGTTATTATTAAATAACTTACCTGATTTTAGCGCCGCCACAAGAATTATTTTGGGGCATCGCGAACATCTTTAACAATTCAAAGTTGAACAGCTTGAACTTCTGTTGAAACCACGCATTGATATATAAGCGCCCTGGTTGAAACCAATTGACATTTGTGCCATGTTATCGTTTTGTAAACTGGACAAGTGGACAACTGTCCAGGGAACTGCACAACTTTTGCGAGGAACATTTTTAAAAAGACATTTATTTGTTATTGTTATACGACCTCCGAATTTCGCCATTTATTCGCAATTTCGCCGCAATTCCTTGGCGCAAAAATTGTCACTAACATGTCGAAGAGGAAATTTCCCAAAGGAAATTTCCTACGATTTCCCAACACTGAACTGTATATATTACGGATGCTTTTGACGATACAGAATCATCAACTTTCTACCCATGTGTTTACGTATCCAAGCAAAAATAAAAGTATTTCTTTTATATATAACTTCTTTTACACAGGTAATTAAAGAAATTGATGGATATTTCTCTTTTTATACAGCTTTTTTACGACTTACGAGGCTACTCAGCGCTCATCGACTGAGGATATACGATACTCGACATCCCTGCGGCAGCAAAAAAATTAATCAAATAAAAATCATCGTGCGTTTGGTAAAATTTATTCTCTTTATTGTCTGTCGCCTAAACAAATCAAGTGCAATTTCAATTTGTGACCGTGATGAGAAGAAATCTGGACAGTTGACACCGGCATTGAACTGAAACAATCTTTGCCTATTCCGTGGTATATAAACGCATTTCCTGCAATATTTACACAATATAACTCGTTGATTATCCCGTATTCATGCGTACAATCACATTTTGTATGCCGAAGTGTGAATACTTGGTCTTGAAAAATATTCACAGAGTATTCGAAGGTATTCTAGGTCAGAATACGCGGTGTGTTTTATTCACAGGTATTCACATCGGAATACCCCCAATATTCCGAGGATATTCACAGTGAATATCTGTGAATACGTGTGAATATGGACCATATTCGAACTCATATTCGCACGTATTCACCTGTGAATACGCGGTTTTTCATGCAGTGCAACGTTTGCGCACTGTGCAGCAATTGTTAAAATCCTTTATATTTTAACTTAGGTACCCACTCGAAAAGGGAGGCCTAAAGCTAATCCACAAGATGATAACTTTGGAAGGCACAATGTTCGGGGAGTATGCCTTCCTTCGAGCCATCCTCTGAAAGCACATGATTATTGTAGAACACAGGCTTATCCAGACAACCTAAACTTTGATTCAGAAACCTTAAAGCATATCAATGACTTAGAAAGTAGAGTACAGAAACTTGAAGAAGAAAACAAAAATCTTCGCTCACGATGCCTCATTTTAGCCCAATTGAAGCATGATGATTCTAGCTTTCAGTTTTGGACTGGATTTCCTAATTATGGTTCTTTCAGTGCTTTGTTTCAGTACCTGGAGTGTGCTTTAGTAAACAAGAGAAACTGGAGGGGATCTGATTTGTTACGCAAGGTAAATGTAACAGAAAGAAAGAGAGGGGCCCCAAGCAAGTTATCACTTGAGGAGGAATTTTTTATGGTTCTGATTCGCCTCAGACTTGGACTCACCTTGACTGACTTGGCATCGCGTTTTATGCTCAGTGAAGGCAATATTAGCAAAATATTCACTACTTGGATCAATTTAATGTACTTTGAATTAAAAGACCTCTGCCAAATGCCAGAATCCCTGGATGAAGGAAAGGCCAAGCACTTTTCCAATTTTCCAAATGTGAAGATTATCATTGATTGTACAGAAATTTTTACAGAGAAGCCATCATCATTGCAAGCATGCAAAGAAATATATTCCAATTATAAAGGGCACACAACATTCAAGTTTTTAGTTGGAATTGACACACATGCAGCAGTTGTTTATGTTTCTCGAGCTTGGGGTGGGCGCACTTCGGACAAACATATTACATCAAACTGTAATGACTTACTAGATGCAATGAAAGAGGGGGATGAGATAATGGCTGATAGAGGATTTGACATAGATGATGTCTTAAGTGTTCCAGGTGTTAAAGTTATCATCCCAGATTTTAAGGGGAAAGACCGCTCACAAATGAGGGCCGTTGAAGTAGAAGGTCAGAAAATATAGGAGTGGTACGAATACATGTGGAGAGGGCAATACAGAGAATCAAGATTTATCGTATTCTTCGAACTGAAATACCTTTGACTATGACACACTTAGCTGAGCAAATATTTACTGTTTGTGCCTATTTAGTTAATTTCCAGTCCCCAATACTACAATGGTTGACAGTTAAATATTGAATAGAGCATTGGAAACAAAACTTTTCAATATCAAATATTTCAGAATCATACTTTGATATATATTTCCCTAACATATTATTTGTCTGTACAATAAATTACAGTATAAGTAAACTATATGTACAATTCAACTATTTAAAGTTTTCATTAATGGATAAATAAATTATTAATGCATTTCATTAATATTACCAGTGGGTAAATAACTTATTGTAAATTGTGCTGCACATATATATGTGGTACTATCAAATTACTCCATTACATTTAGAAACCCTTGGGGCAGCCCTAATAATTCAATGGTATTTGTATAATAATTATTCCTCTCTTACAACAGTGCTGAGAGATTCATATGTAATTCCAAGTTTACCAATTCTACTGTGTCCAAACATAACCCGAGGATATGCAAGCTCCAATAAAATAATGTCATAATAAAATTTCCTAAGCCTGGGTAGTTGCTGTTCCCAAAATTTCTGGCAGTAAGCAGTGTTCAGAACAAATATAGCCTTTCCATCTGAAGCAACAAAATCAGCCCATAACCTTCTTGAACAAAACAGCTGTTGTTGAATTTGGTAATAGTAGGGGTGATTGTTATTAAATGAGACTTGATCACCTGTTTCCTTTAATATACATTGCCTTTTGAGGGCATCCAGTAAGGATTCTGCAGTGTGTGGGTGGATCTTTTTTACTTCAATTGTACCCTCATCCCCAACCAAACCATCTGGTGTTGCACCAAAAAACGGATGGGTGACAGATATGAAAAATCCACATGGTTGGACATTGACATTGTTTCTTTGTTCATACATTTCTATAATTTTGTGTTTTGAATCCTTTCCATCTTGCATGTATGATGTTTGGATGCGCTTGTTGTAGCCCAATATGTCACGCAATGCTTTAGTGGGACTTGTAGTCACTTTTTGAATTGCCCGCTTACACTTTGATGCAGTTATCCTTGGCATGCGGTGTGTAAACCACAGTGGATTGTTGTGCTGGCCTCTGGTTTCCCGTTCTATTGACTCAACTTCCTCTTGGCTTACACATATTTCACTCAAAACATTTTCTGCTTTTTCTCGAATTTCTTGCAAGCAAATTGTATTACCAAGATTATGCTCTAAGATTTCTTCAATTTCATTATTGTCAGCATTTGCATATGAGCTAGTCTGTACCTCAATATCACAACAAATAGCTAAACTTGCATCATAATTCTCACAAATATAAACGTCTGGTAGATTACACTCAGATGCAGGTTGGGCAGAATCATTTTCCACCTTGGATAACAGGTAAACTATGGGAGGCATTGGTTTACCCATATTTGCTTCTAGAATTGCCTGCCTCAAGTTTGATTTTCGTTCTTCCTTTGTTAGGGGATTTTCATCACTGTTTTTGTACAAATCCTCTGTTATTGCAGGAGATGGTCGGAATTTCTTTTCAGGTGGTTGCTCTCCCACTTTAGCTTTGTAAATTTATATTTTCAACCATTGCTGGTTTTACTTTGGCACCTGGAAAAAGAGCAAAGATTATTCCATAATAATTCACAGGCAGCTGATAGCAAAAATTCTTAAGATGATTCTACAAAGAAAAATGTGCAGAAATATGTATTCTATTTCAGTGCTGACATGTTAGATTATGTAGGATTATTTTACCTTTAGGTTCTGTCCATGAGCAAGGTAAGTCCGTACAAGTAGGGTCTGAAGGGATTTGCACTTTTCCTTCTGCAATAATGTCAGCCAAGACAAACAACAAAGCACCAACATGGCTGCAATTACCTCGCAAACTTTATGATGGAAAAAACACATTTACTACCATCACACTTACTACCATCACACCAAATTTGCAAAAATAGCTTACCCAACTGTGCAGGTACAATATGCAAATAATGGCTTGCTGGTCTCCATGTGCATGACAACATACATCGTCTTCATTTCTTCTGGATCGGTGGAGAATGATGGGTTGCAACAACCTCTTAAAACCCACATATTTTCATACTCTGGTAATGAATGAACCCTAATTTACAGCAAAACAGCCAAACGGAAATATATTAATATTTATATTGGTATAAATTTTTAGGAAAAAATGTTTCTGCTACAGACAAAGAATTGTGCACTAGATATGTTGTTGTAAATACTTACTTTAAAGAGTGAACTCCTTGTTTGTGCTCCCAAGCACGAAGGGTTTTGTATTTCTTGACGTCCGCTTTGGTATAACCCGCTCCAACTAAAAAGGTCTTTACCATGGACTCGTCCACAACTTGCGGTAAACCAGTGAGACTCTTGCTCCAGTTTTTTAGTTTCTGTAGCTGCCTTATCGACGGTAAGCTTTGGTCTTCAGCAGGTTGGGGCAACGGCACAGACGAACTCGTAGACGAAGTTGATATGTTTAAACCATTACAGACAAGATTAAGTATGGCTTTCTTTCCAAACGACTTTTCAACGTCAATGTCCAAACTTTTAGCGATATGTTTTAATTTTGTTTTGGACAGTTGTGCAACGTCCTTGAACGTCTTTAACGAGTTTACAATTGATACTTCCTGTCTGTCCCCCATTTTGTTTACATCGCAGTCCCCCCAAAGCGCAAAGCATTATGGTATTTGTGAAAGTGGAGAATGGCACAGCACATACACGGTGGTTAGACTATTGAGTTTTAGTAAAATACAATAAAATGTCTTAAAATACGAAGACATAGGCTTTAAATCGACAACCAACCAGACCCGACTAGTTTTTGTTATTGTATATGTAGCCAATTTTTCAACATTTTCAACAGTACAAAATTTGCCAACTTCGCGTGGCTATATTTTCCGTATTTTACAACATTTCGCAGCCAAACTTTGCATTTGCACTAATTTAAGTAAGATCTTTCAGAAAATGTCCTTTTTATCGCCGAGGTAAGAAATTAGTCTAAAGCGCAAGTCGTCCATTTATGCTCCAAGCAACGCGTTGTCCATAACACCAATATATATCTAAAAATGTATACATTTTCGCATTCACCATACCCCCTTTTGTTCTTCCAAATTATCCCCAGCCTGGTAGATTGTGCCGTAGTCTAACTTGATAACAATTTTTCCTTACCCATAATGCTTGTAGGGGACCATTTCCTCTCGTGTTAGTATTGGTAGAGCTTGCGAAGACGTTGGGAATTTTGTCATGTTGGCTTGTTCTTCCTGCATTTCCTGTTTTACTTGCTCCCGTAGATGTTTAATGGAACATATGTCCATATTCGCGGGTTGGGACGCCCAGTCAGCATTCGGCCTTATAGTGCCATATAAGGCCATATAGGGCCCAAACGGGCCTAATAAAATTCCTGACCCACGAAAAAATGAGCCAATTATTATTAGGAATTTTTTGAGCAATCATCTAAATATGGGTCGCACGCGTAGGAACTGCCCTGTGTTTGGCTGTGGTAGTACAAATTTAGCAAGGTTAGCAAATCATCTCGACCAAGTACACGGTATGGAAACAGAGGAACGCAAGAAATGGTTAAAGTGGAGTAAGATAGGAATATGTGTACCTCGACAGAGTAAAGAACCAAAGGAATTCAATATGGAGGAGTGTCTGGAAAATTTATTAGAGCGCCAAGAAGAGATGGAGAGAAACTTTAATGTTTACTTAAGCACTGCAAAATTAAAGCATGTGCAGCCTAGTCGTAAACGAAGAACCTCTACCTCGCGGGAAACGAAGAAAGTACATAAGGGATGGTTAACATTTTAGTTTGTGTGCATGCACTGGACTACGAAATTAAAGTACCGCGTAGATATTTAATGGAATATTTGTCCATATTCGCGGGTTGGGACGCCCAGTCAGTAATCGGGCCATCTGGCCTAATAGTGCCATATAAGGCCATATAGGGATTGAACGAATGCAAGTTTGAAGATGAATAGTAAAATAAAGAAAGCGATTTAAAAGGTTTACTAATAGAGCGTTTGTTGAAGAATCCATGGCAAACGAACAAAAAGGGATACGAAATGAGATTTTGATGTATTACAATTTATTGCTGTAATTAATCGTTAGATGAATAAATGTTAAAAACGCAAATCTATATCTGTTTTAATACAACTATTTCCGGCGTTTAACCCCCACACAGCAGTTTACCCCGTGTTGACACTTCGGTTTCGGGAGCTCAAATCTGTTACCCCATTGCCAAAAGTTACACGGATTTTTACGATCGCAGCAAACAAAGAACGGTCTCCCAAAGTTACGTTTACTTAGATCCTTCACAACTTTCATCTTGGTCGGCCTTTGGTGTGTGTCACACAGCGGATGAATCGCGCCATTCGCCCTCCGCATCATCATAGCCGTATCAAAGAGCGAATGAACTTGCTCACGGCAAAATAATTCACAACATTTAGGGTTGTTCTTGTTACAAACCCAAAACTTTCCTCTCTTGGTAGGGATTGCGGTCGCAGGCACTCCATGTAAGCACTCCATTGCTGTGTTTTCTCGGGCAATTTCTGTTCGATGTGCGATATTTATGTGCAAGCTACTCTTTGTTTGGAGGCGAACATGTTCAGGTTCGTCCTGTCATTAAAACCTATTACCAGTAATGTATGCATAAACGCGTTTGGACAAAGTCATCAACGGACTCATAACTACGCGTGGGAGTAGCGCACACCGTAGCGCTCACAAATTACCTTTTGTAAACAATATGTTTGATACGAGAAGGATCTCCTCGCAAACCTGAACATTCCCTCCATCAATTTGGAGTGTTTTGGATGCCCGAAAGCGCAAATACTGATAAAAAATCTAGTATGGCTGGAGACCTGCGGAAAGCATTTGGCAACCGACGCATATCAACATTGTCCTAAAGTTGAAGTAGAAGCGTACGGGTCATGCCTGGAGAGAGACAAATGTAATCACAAACAAAAATAAAAAACCTGTTCCCTTATAAACCAATGCAAATAATTCAGACTAACGGTGGGGAAGCATCGCCAACAAACGAACTTTTAAAATAAATAGTCATAATACTATGGAAAGAAACATACTATTAAAATGTTGACATACTAGATGTGTATAACCTGACAAATCAAATATTTTCCTCGCAAATCCTTACTGTGTACTTAATTACGGTTTAATAACGTCACACTCTCACCCTGCGTGGAGACCACGCACATCTTCGGAAAAATCCGACAGTTTTCGACGTCCCGCGTGGGAATCACGCGTTACGTCATTTTGCCGCTATATGGGGGAGGTTACCTACTTTTATGCAGACGCCACAATTATAAGAAAGGCCTATTATTATTGATATGTTAATTTTAATCATTATCATCAAAATGATGATAAAGGTTGCCATGGTAACCATCATTTATCATGAATAATATGCTAAATATGATCAAAATCATCATAATGAAAATTATGGTTGCCATAGTAACCATGATTTATCATGAATAATATGTTAAATATGATCAAGATAATCATGATGATCATCATGGTTGCAATTGCAACCATAATTTATTATGATTGATATGTTAATTTTGATCGTTATCATCAAAATAATGATAATGGTGGCCATAGCAACCATCATTTATCATGAATAATATGCTAAATATTATCAAGATCATCATAATAAAAATTATGGTTGCCATAGCAACAATCTTTTATCTTGAATAATATGCTAAATGTGATCAAGATCATCATAATGAAAATTATAGTTGCCATGGCAACCATCATATATCATGAATAATATACTAAATATGATCAAGATCATCATAATGAAAATTATGGTTGCCACAGTAACCATCATTTATTATGATTGGTATGTTAATTTTGATCACTATCATCAAAATGATGATAAAGGTTGCCATGGAAACCATCATTTATCATGAATAATATGCTAAATATGATCAAGATCATCATAATAAAAATTATGGTTGCCATGGCAACCATCATTTATCATGAATAATATGATAAATATGATCAAGATCATCATAATTAAAATTATAGTTGCCATAACAACCATCATTTATCCTTGATAATATGCTAAATATGATCAAGATCATAATAATGAAAATCATGGTTACCATGGTAACCATCATTCATTATGATTGATATGTTAGTTTTGATCGTTATCACCAAAATTATTATAATGGTTCCATGGTAACCATCATTTATCATGGATAATATGCGAAATATGATAAAGATCATCATAATGAAAATTATGGTTGCCATGGTAACCATCATTTATCATGAAAAATATGCTAAATATGATCATGATCATCATATTGAAAATTATGGTTGCTATGGTAACCATAATTTATTATAATTGATATGTTAGTTTTGATCATTATCATGAAAATGATGATAAAGGTTACCATGGTAACCATCATTTATCATAAATAATATGCTAAATATGATCAATATCATCATAATAAAAATTATGGCTGCTATGGGAGCCATCATTTATCATGAATTATATGCTAAATATGATCAAGATCATCATAATGATCATCATGGTTGCAATCATAACGAAGTCTATGGTTGCAATTGCAACTATCAATTATTATGATTGATATGTTAATTTTGATCATTATCATCAAAATGATGGTAAAGGTTGCCATGGCAACCATGATTTATCATGAATAATATACTAAATATTATCAATATCATCTTAGTGAAAATTATGGTTGCTATGGCAACCATCATTTATCATGAATAATATGCTAAATATGATCAAGATCATCATAATGAAAATTATGGTTGCTTCGGCAACCATCATTTATCATGAATAATAGGCTAAATCTGATCAAGATCATCATAATGAAAAATATGCTTGCCATGGCAACCATCATTTATCATGAATAATATTCTAAATACGATCAAGATCATCATTATGAAAATTATGGTTGCCATGGTAATTATCATTTATCATGAATAATATGCTAAATATGATCAAGATCATCGTAATGAAAAGCATGGTTGCCATGGTAACCATAATTTATTATGAATGATATGGTAATTTTGATCATTATCATCAAAATGATGATAATGGCTTCCATTGCAACCATCATTCATGATGAATAATACGCTAAATATGATCAAGATCATGATAATGAAAATTTTGGTTGCCATGGTAACCATAATTTATTATGATTATTATACTAATGATTATCAAGATCATCATAATAATCATCATGTTTAAAATTACAACCATAATTTATCATGATTCGTATGTTAATTTTGATCATTATCATCAAAATGATGATAATAGTTCTCATGGCAACCATCATTTATTATGAATAATTTGCTAAATATTACCAAGATCATCATAATGAAAACTATGGTTGCAATTGCAACCATCATTTATTATGATTGATATGTTAATTTTAAACATAATCATCAAAATGATGATAAAGGTTGCCATTGCAACCATCATTTATCATGAATAATATTTTAAATATGATCAAGATCATCATAATGAAAATTATGGTTACCATGGCAACCATCATTTACCATGAATAATATGCTAAATATGATCAAGATCATCATAATTAAAATTATGGTTGCCACAGCAACCATCATTTATCATGAATAGTATGCTAAATATGATCAAGAT